TCAGCCAAGTAAATATATAATCTCTAAACAGAAAGCCTTGTGGTGATTAATTAATTACTCCGAGAAAACTATTAGAACAGTAAACTTTTCTATTTAAAACTCATATGTCTGTAAACAAATAATGAAATAAAATTCAAGAAACATCCTAAACCACAACGATTTTTAAAGCAGTCCAGAAAAGTTTCACCCCAAAAAAGAAACTCTCGCAATCCCACATCCATCCGGTACTTTCGTAAGTGGTAAACATCATGTAACCCCATACATCACCCCCTAAAATCTATTGAAAAAAAAAAAAAAAAAAAAAAAAAAAAAAAAACCATTAGGAAACCGGAAGTTACCGATACCATACCCACCCTACAATGGAGCAAAGCAAAAGTCCGAGTGCGTCGAACCTCGAAGGATAAATTCGCACCTTCTTAGACTTTTACCTTAAAAAATTATGTAGGAGATTAGGAATGGGTAGACTAAGTTTTACAGATTGTCTAATAATGAAATATAAGTGGAGTTGTCCACGAAATAAGCGTTAAATCATAAAATTTGAAAAAAATCACAAGATATCTTATTCGCTTGGGATTCTGTTATTCCAAATGGACATTTTGATTGTAAAAACTTTAAAATTTACAAATTTGTTTACAACAATACACATATCGCCCTTATTTGGACTCTCATCTTGAAAAAGCAGTTTCGGAAGGTAAAAACATATATAATTTAAGCTTTAGAAAAGCCGTTAGTATAATCTTTGACCCATTATTTCTCCGATTTGATAAACCGACTCTTCTGTGAGTTTGTATGAATGTATTTGTTTCCACGAACCACTTGCCGAAGCAAAAAGTCGCAACGCCCCTTAAAAATCGTCAAACGGCGAAATACAACAACAATAAGCCTGTCGTGCGTACTTACTTACTTGTATAGTCTCTTGAGTGGCGGCAGCCTCGAGCACACCGTCGCCGAAGCTCCTACTGGCGAAGCACACCTGCATCGCGGGCTTCGAGTCCAATTGATCCACGCGCTCGAGCCTACCCTCGTGGCGGATGGTCAGAGGACACAGACAGGCGCTGCTCTCCAACCAGTCCTCGATCGTCAGCCACTGCTTCGACAGCATCACCTGCCGCGATATCAACAGTTGGCCATCCAGCACCTTTTCCCCGCCGCTGTCCAGGTAGTCAAAGTATTGGAATATTCCGCGCAACTTTGCTTTCTGGCTGTTTCTAGGATTGTTATCATTATTTTTCTTTCTACGTGCCTTTTTTCTCACTCGTTTAATCATTATTTCACATTACAAGGTTTTAAAACGATTTCCCCAACTAATTCCAACCCGCTGTCTCGTGCAATATCATTTACTTATACATAGCGAGTACTTTTGTTTAAATTCTCACTTTGACTCGAGATTATTCAATATGACATCGATATTGATTTGGAAATCATTTGTACGTGTTGTTTTACATACATGTACGATTTCATAACTATTATTTTTCATCGTAGTTTTAATCGGAAGAGGAAAAAAAAAACCACAGTAATAAAAGACCATTGAAACGTTTATATGGCTCATTATAAATTATTTGGATTGCTATATTGTTGTTTTTTTAACTTACAAGTGCAGGTGCTTGAAGAAATTCGTAAAGTTAAAGTCCCGCAGTGTCGGATGAGTCTTGAGGGTTCGTTTCGGGTACGTGGAGAAGAAGGCGTTCGCTATCAGGGAAGACACGAACGCGTAGCTGTGCTCTATCGTATCGCCTGGGGATGAAAAGCGGGGAGTAAAAATTTATTGTTCACCTTATACCCAAGAGACGATGAATTAAAGAGCATATATATAAGAACATGCCCTGTTGCTGTAAACTAAAGTGCAAGCCCTGCGGCGGTTTGTGCGCTTTCAGAGCCTTGGCCTGTTTGGCGATCCTGGGTATGGTTTTTGCGAAGACGCGTTCGCGCTCGTCGGGGCTCAGGTCCCGATCGAGGTAGTTCGCGAAGCCGGTGAACAGGTCGGGGTCTTGCACGTCCTCTTCTGGATCCAGGCTGATGCTGCGCTCAACATTTCAAAACAAATTAGTACCAAGTATTATTTCAGTCGTACGGTGGTTGGCTCATGATTTACGTGATTAAATCAAAGTGCAGCTGGTCATTTTTACATTTTAATTGAATGTCAGTTATTTAATGCATACAGAGTGGGATACTCGGTGTAATAATATTTAGTAGACAAATTTTAAGATCTGAATCATTGAAATGCAAAAATACGTAAAAATACAATTACCTATAGCTTGGCATTTTTCAAAAATGATTTGTCTTGATTTTTACGTCACAAGTCATGTTTTTTAATATGGTTTTAAGAGGATAATTTACATTTTACTTATTTGATCCAAAGTTCCCTCGAAAAGCAATAAGAAGCGAATAATATGTGATTCAAAATTGATGATAAATCAAGTATATGTTGTTAACATGTTTTAATCTAATCCATGCGAGTATCGAAGCGCGAGAGTCATAAATTATAATTTAAATCGTTAATCTTCCGAAGATTTGGGTTAGTTCTATAAATATTGTAACGTGTAAAGTGAAACATTTTTTTACGTTAATATTTCTTTATTATTATGATTTCATACAATAAATTATGGTATCATTAAACTGTAAAAGATTAACATGCATATACATATTATGTATTAGACGATGAATGAGTTGTTTAATCTGTGTCATTATTATGAAATCAGCTCGGCTCATTCAAAACACATTCCCTTGCAACTAAAAATTTGTAAAACGTGCATTTCCAATTTATTTAACCTTGTAAAAAGTTTTTGTCAAGTACCGTGAGAATGCGTTTATTAGTGTAGATTTTGTAATACACTCTTAAATATTTTTGCGCTCAGTAAGAGTAGAGGTAAAACTTTCTTCTGTAGTACAGATTGACATTTTTATTAAAGTTATAAATTTATAAATAATTCAACTTTATATTATTAAATAGTATTAT